AAAGTTATTTTCGCCTCTGGGCTCACACGTTAAATTAAATTTATTTTATATGTTTATATATAAGTAATCCTTAAACATGAATTTATCATAATAAAATAAAAAATCATTCAAAAACAAAAAAAGTGTTTTGCAAAAATAAAATTTAATTTTATTATTATCTAAACTAATATTATTCTTTTTGTAAGATCAATTTTTGAATGTATATTTAACGTTTCAATTTTTCAAATTGAAAGATAGATTTCTATATTTTTATTAATTAAGAAGAAAGGAAATAGACTTTAGATTTTTTAAAGTTTAAAATGAAAGTATATTTTTTAATTTGTGAATAAATTTATCATGTAAACAAAAATTAATGTTTTAGGTTATATTTTTGGATGCAAATATCATTTATTTTGATGATTTTTAAATAGATTTACAGATAATTAAGCCCGCATGTGCGGGCAAAACACCTAGTGTAATATATATGTGGTATTAAAAAGTTAACACATCATGAGCATGAATTACGAATAAAATGTATATTTTCCTGACATTTTAAACGTTTATAGAAACTCGTAGAAATTAGTTTGAATATAGAAAAATCATATATATCTATGTATAAAAATTGTGTGAATATGTTAGGCCAACCCCAAAAAAGGTTGGTGAAGAAACTGAGGGTGGATAATCAATATCAATATGATAAAACATTAAGAAGTAAATAAAAGTGGGAGTGGTTAAACAATCATTTGCTTGAAACAAGTAATTTTATATGTGCTCTTAGGTACTACTTTGCTTTCGACGTGTGAATGTAGATTTTGTGAATGATATCTTATCTACTGTAGTTATGTTAAAACATTATATTCAACTACAAGATACAAAAGTCTTGTAGCACTAGCAATTCCCAAATGTATTATAATGGTTTATCTTTGAGAAAAAAAATTACATCAAGTAACACCTAGACAAAACAGAACATATTTTGTCTTAACAAAAAACACCAAACTTTCTCTTGATACCTAGACATCGAGAACTAAGTCGAGGGACAACAAAAAAGTCAGACCTAACAGTGATAAAATACAAATCTCTATGGTTTGTTTATCCTCGGTACCGTAATAGCACCTAACATGTTTTAATTAGTATATCCAACCGAGCCAAAGTAGTTTACAAAAAAAAAACTAAGCCAAAGTTGAAATTTGGGGGTATATAATGAACAAATACGCAAGAGACTCGAAGTATACATGAATTAGTATGTGAGAGAACCTTGGTCAAGTGCAAGAGGGTTTCTCATGACTGATCCAAGGCTTTACTCTTGGTTTCAAACACTTTATATTTCTTCTAAGGCATTAAAAAAAAATTAGTTTTTGGAACAAGAATAGATCGTATTGGGGCCTTTTGGTATCACCCCAATAACCGTCATGTAACCAACGATGGAGTAAAATCATATATGAACACGATGAATTCACATACGTAGTATGGGGTCAATACTAATATATTATAAGTTGTAAAATATATAATGCAATCGTTGGAATTTGAAAGTCATTATAAAAGTAACATATACCAATATTTTCATACCAAAAAGACATTTAGCATATGTTAGATGTAGCAAGTTAAGTGTGGATTTTACATACTGAAACGATCTTAACTTAGATAACATACCATTTTCAAAAAGTATCGTGAGTCACATTACCAATCATTTTTTTATAAGTCACATTACAAATCATATTGATAACCTAACATGTTTGATGATGAGTTTATCTATTTCCTTGTAGAAAATATTTTGGCTAAATATTTCAGTTGGAATATAAGTTGTTGTTTTAATGCTTTAAACATTTCAAATAACACCTATTAGTGAACAAGAGTGAAAGATAAAATATCTTCATTAAACCTTCAAAGTGTACATATTGAAGTATTTATACTCATATATTAAGCTATTATACAATACTCATTACAATGTACAAGTGTACTAGTATCAATACTATATACAAATATGATGATACTAAGTGCTTTTTTTTGTGCTTATGCATTGGTAAATACTTACAAAGTAAATAAATTATACTAACTAATCAATATCTAAGCAAAAATAAATAATTTATAAGGTATTTTTAACAATGTTAATTATAACATATATATATATATATATTATTTTAAATAATAATTTTTTATTTCTTAGTTAGACATTTAATATTATGCAGTTTTTAGTCGCTTCGGTTATCATATATAATTGGTTTGATTATTTTTATTATGTGTACGTGTGATTATAGGATATTTTTTTTGTATTAAAATATACTAAGACTAATGTTTTTAATTATTATACTAAGACCAATATCTTTTCAGTTTTGCTTAGTTTAATGTTTGTTGAAATCTATATATATATATATATATATAAATATATACATTAAGATTAACATTTTTCATTTTTAAATAAAAATTAGAAAGATGACAAAAAGAAAAGAAAAGAAGATAAAGTATTGAAAGGTTTGTAGTTGAATAATCAAACCAACCATACAATCTATTATATTTTGTAAATATTTTTTGTAGTTTACTCAATTTTGTAAAAAAAATATAAATAAAAATAAAAACTAAACTAAAAAACAGTAAGCAAAAAACATGACTTTAATAATGACACACTGTTGTATTTTCAGTTACTTAAATATTCCAACTTATGTTATCTTAATTATGTAACTATGTACAGTTCACTACAGCTATTAAATTATGTTAATTTTTTTTATTTAGTTTATTAAAAATATTGGTTGATGAAAAACTTATTTTTAGTAAATCTCTAAGCTTTATTAGCTATTATGTTCTCTGTGATTATGTTTCAAAGAAAAATTAATGTGAAATTTTCATTTTACGAGATATCTATACAAAATATATCACGTTTAAAAGAAATATTTTTTTTTATATATGTTAAAACTAATGTAAATATAAGAACCGAAAATTATATATTTTTTTAAATATGAATCTTATTATTTTGAAATTTTCCTTTTTATAAAATCAAATATATATATATATATATATGACATGACCACTTTTATATTTTTAAAATACTTTTTAAAGATGTGATTTTTTAAAAAAATATGAAGAAAAGAAAACTAAAATTAATAATAATAAATAACAAAGATTATAAAAAGAAAAAAATGTTAATAATGACATCAATTATAATTTAACAATATATTAAGAATATAATTAACTATTTTAAGAAAAATCATGAAAGCAACTCTAGAAAAATGATATAAATTATATTATAGATATATATTTAATAACACCTGTTGATCATCCAGATATACAAGAGATTTCAAAGTCTCATAGACTTACGTAAAGAGAACCTGGTCAGTCAAGCAAATCTCCAGTAATTGGTAACAAATATCGGGAAATTAATGTTTAGGCCTTTACTTGGTCCAAATCCAAAAAGCCTTTCCATTTATTATCAATCCCTTTAGAGCGGGAACTTTCCAAAGCCCTATCCCTCACGTGGCGCGTAAACTCTGATTCTACAAAGCAACGTTTGGGTACATCGTAGCCGTTGGATTTTAATGGTTATAAAAGTAACTCCTGAAAACATTTTACCCCCATTCATCTCATCGTCTCTGTGCTTTACTGCTTTTTTACCCTAAACCCTCAAAAGGCGAAACCGATTCGATTCCCATGGCGAAGTTTTCGAATCGCGACGACGGTTACTCTTCCTCCGAGGAGGAAGAGCGTGTCGAGAACAACGTCGGAGAAGATGAAGAAGACGAGGAGGAGCTCGAGGCCGTTGCTCGGTCTTCTGATTCCGATGATGAGGAGGCTGTTCCCGAGGGCTCCGACGAGGAGATCGTCCCAATCGAGGATGATTACGAGGTAATCGTAACGGAAATTTCATCGAACGGTTGATTGTTCGCTCATTGTGTTGATGTTTTTGTGTGTGTGTAGGATGAGGAAGACGATGAGAAGGTTGAGATAAGCAAACGTGAGAAAGCTAGGCTTAGGGAGATGCAGAAGGTGAAGAAGCAGAAGCTTCAGGAGATGCTTGACTCTCAGAACGCTTCCATTGATGCTGATATGGTGCGTGTTTTGTTTGATGTGAATTGTTCTTAGTTAGGGAATTGAGGAATCTGATTTGTTTTTGCATGGATTTTAGAATAATAAGGGGAAAGGGAGACTGAAGTTTCTTCTGCAGCAAACTGAGTTGTTTGCGCATTTTGCTAAAGGTGATGCATCATCTTCTTCTCAGAAGAAGACGAAAGGAAGGTGTGTTGGATGTAAATGGGGCATTAGATATAGGTTTTAATCACTGTTTTGGTATCAAAATACGTAATAATGAGCGTAGCACTGATTTGTAGTTAACTTTTTTTTTTTTTACCTTAAGGGGTCGTCATGCTTCCAAAGTAACTGAAGAGGAGGAAGATGAGGAGTATTTGAAGGAAGAAGAGGGTGGGTTAGCTGCATCTGGGAACACGAGGTTGCTCACCCAGCCGTCTTGTAAGTACCTGGGTTTTACTTTTTAGTTTTAGAGGTTTTGCATATTGATCATTTGTTTGAGGGCAAGAACTGCATGTAGTTTAGATCTCTTTCCATATCTTAACATATAACTGTTGTTGTGACCTAGGTAGTATAGTGTAAGGTTTAATTGGAAAGTTGACGATTCATTTTTTCTCTCCTCAACTTACAGGTATTGAAGGGAAGTTAAGAGATTATCAATTAGCTGGTTTAAACTGGCTCATCCGGCTGTATGAGAATGGCATTAATGGGATTCTTGCTGATGAAATGGTACACAATGGTTCCCCTAAGGGCTCAAGCAATACAAGCTCTACTTCTTATGATGCTAATCATGATACCATTTTTTTCCTGTGTTATAGGGTCTGGGGAAGACACTTCAAACTATTTCTTTGTTGGCCTACCTTCATGAATACAGAGGAATCAGTGGACCTCATATGGTAGTTGCTCCAAAATCAACCCTTGGTAACTGGATGAACGAAATTCGCCGGTTTTGTCCTGTCTTGCGTGCTGTGAAATTTCTCGGTAATCCTGAGGAAAGGGTAAGCAACGATCTGCATGCCATTTCAGAGTTCCATGTAAATGTTCAACCCATGGGTTCTGATAGGTCTGCCAATAATGCAGAGACATATTCGCGAGGACCTGCTAGTTGCTGGGAAATTTGATGTATGCGTCACAAGCTTTGAGATGGCCATCAAAGAGAAGACAGCACTACGTCGCTTTAGCTGGCGTTATATTATCATCGATGAAGCGCATCGAATCAAGAATGAAAATTCACTCCTTTCGAAAACCATGAGACTTTTTAGCACCAATTATCGGCTTCTTATCACGGGAACTCCCCTTCAGGTGTTTGCTCGTACCTTATTCTTGAATTTTTGGATACTGGTGTCTTCTTGCCAAGTTGCCTCTGATTGTATGCAACAACCTTTCTTGTACGAGTCTGTTTGTACTTTATTTTTTGGTTCCTCGTATCTCATGTTTTCTTCTTATATGCAGAATAATCTCCATGAATTGTGGGCTCTTCTGAATTTTCTTCTGCCTGAGGTCTTCAGTTCAGCTGAGACTTTTGATGAATGGTTTCAAATTTCTGGCGAGAATGACCAGCAGGAAGTTGTCCAGCAACTTCACAAGGTTTGTGTGTACTATTCCTTCTATCGAGTTTATCACGCCTTAATTGTTAAAATAATCACTTTCCTGTATCTTCTTAGGTCCTTCGGCCATTTCTTCTACGAAGACTTAAGTCAGATGTTGAGAAAGGTTTACCACCAAAGAAGGAGACGATACTTAAAGTTGGCATGTCTCAGATGCAAAAACAATACTACAAGGCTTTACTGCAGAAGGATCTTGAAGCGCTCAATGCTGGTGGAGAACGCAAACGTCTGCTAAACATTGCAATGCAACTGCGTAAATGCTGTAATCACCCTTATCTCTTCCAGGGTGCAGAGCCTGGTCCACCATATACCACAGGGGATCACCTGATAACAAATGCTGGTAAGACTACATTCACATTAAATCGTTCAGATGTATGTCTAAATGCTTATTGAAGCATCTTTATACTACTATTTTCAGGTAAGATGGTTCTTTTGGATAAATTGCTTCCTAAGCTGAAGGAACGTGATTCAAGGGTGCTGATATTTTCTCAGGTAAAAGCTGATATAGAACAGATATAGATAATTATATCTAACGGTTCATCTTCTTTGTTTCATTCTTCTGTTTGAAGCCTGAGCGTTATTCCCTTCTATACTCATATATGTCAGATGACAAGACTTTTGGATATTCTTGAGGATTATTTAATGTATCGTGGCTATCTATATTGCCGTATTGATGGAAATACTGGTGGTGATGACCGAGACGCCTCCATAGAAGCCTACAATAAGCCAGGAAGCGAGAAATTTGTTTTCTTGTTATCTACTAGAGCTGGAGGGCTTGGTATCAATCTTGCTACCGCCGATGTTGTTATTCTTTATGATAGTGACTGGTAAGTCTCTTATCATGTCCACTGTAGTTTCTGAGTATTCTCTTCACTTTGAGTTTGACGTGTCTGGTGGATTTTGGCAGGAATCCTCAAGTCGACTTGCAAGCCCAGGATCGTGCCCACAGGATTGGCCAAAAGAAAGAAGTTCAAGTGTTTCGATTCTGTACTGAGGTTGATATTCTCCCCTCTCATGTCAAGTAAGAACAGACTAAGAGTGCAAATTACTTATGTATTACTTGTTTACAGTCTGCTATTGAGGAGAAAGTGATTGAGAGAGCTTACAAGAAGTTGGCGCTTGATGCTCTGGTTATTCAACAAGGAAGATTGGCAGAGCAGAAGAGTAAGATTCTTATGATGAGTCCAAAATGCATTGGTTCATCTTTTGACCCAATTAATTTTTTGTCGTTACCATATGCAGCTGTCAATAAGGATGAGTTGCTTCAAATGGTAAGATATGGTGCGGAGATGGTGTTCAGTTCTAAAGATAGTACAATCACAGACGAGGATATTGATAGAATCATTGCGAAAGGAGAAGAGGCAACGGCTGAACTTGATGCCAAAATGAAGAAATTCACAGAAGATGCTATACAGTTTAAAATGGATGACAGTAAGAGTGTCATGAACTTTTTTCCGTTCTGTTGTGTTAATAGTGTATAGGAGGATTTATTGATAATTAATCGGTCTGAATTGTCACAGGTGCTGACTTCTATGATTTTGATGATGACAATAAGGTATGACCATATATCTCTTTTCATAGTTTATGTGTTCATGTCATACCCTCATATGATCTGCCTCACCGAAAGTCAAATTTACTTGTATTTTCAAATTATGTTTTATAGGATGAGAACAAGCTTGATTTTAAGAAGATTGTGACCGACAATTGGAATGATCCACCGAAGCGAGAGAGAAAGCGCAAGTAAATATTCTTTTGCCTGTTCATTGTGCAGTCCTACTTTTCCTGTCTTCATAAATATATCAACTTAAAAATTCCCTTTTCTTTTATCTAATGCAACATCAGCTACTCGGAAGTTGACTACTATAAGCAAACATTGCGTCAAGGTGCTCCATCTAAACCTAAAGAGCCTAGAATTCCGCGAATGCCTCAGTTGTAAGTACTTTAATAAAAAGCTACTGCATATGCGAACTGCCTTTCCCCTTGATGGCATTGTTCCCCCTAGAAACCTAATACTTTGTCCTGCAGGCACGATTTCCAGTTCTTCAACACTCAGAGATTGACTGAGTTGTATGAAAAGGAAGTACGCTATCTCATGGTAAGGCTCTTTAAATGAAATACTTGTAACTGTTTTGATGTGCTTAAGAGTGAATTAACGACTAGTAAAATGTATTTCCTTCTCTTTGGTTTCAGCAAACACATCAGAAAAATCAGTTGAAAGACACAGTTGAAGAAGAAGAAGAACCAGAAGGTCGACCTCGGTTTCTCAGTTTGTGCCCACCTTGCTAACATTCTTTTCCAGCGAACCGATTACTGATCGAGAATTTTTTTTGTTACCAGGTGGAGATCCCTTAACTGCTGAAGAAGCAGAAGAAAAGGACGCTTTACTGGAGGAGGTAAAGTGAACTTTTGATGTTAAAGGTGTCATAGAGATTTGGTCTTTATTTAATTTTCTGTAAATGTTAATATTCAGGGTTTCTCAACATGGAACAAAAGAGACTTCAATAGTTTCCTTCGGGCTTGTGAGAAGTATGGGCGAAACGAAATCAAAAGCATTGCCTCTGAAATAGAAGGCAAAACAGAGGAAGAAGTTGAAAGATATGCCCAAGTATTCAAAGAGCGTTACAAGGAGCTGAACGGTATGTAACACAACACCTTCTGAATGCTCAGTAAATTAATTATTTTACCTTCTGAATGCCCACATCTCCCCTCTATATTTGTAGATTATGATAGAATCATTAAGAACATTGAGAGAGGTGAAGGAAAAATCACCAGGAAAGATGAAATCATGAAAGCCTTTGGGAAGAAACTGGATCGCTACAGAAACCCTTGGCTGGAAATGAAGATTCAGTATGGTCAGAACAAAGGGAAGCTCTACAATGAAGAGTGCGACCGTTTCATGGTCTGTGTGTATTTTTTTTCCTTTTCCATCTTTTGTTTCACTAATCTTATCATGAAGTTTGATTGTTGTGAAAACAGATCTGCATGGTTCACAAACTTGGGTATGGGAACTGGGATGAGTTAAAGGCAGCATACAGGACATCGCCTTTGTTTAGGTTTGACTGGTTTGTGAAATCCCGCACGAGTCAGGAACTTTCAAGAAGATGCGACACTCTGATTAAACTGATTGGAAAAGAGAACGACGAGTTCGATGAAAGAGAGAGGCAAGCCCGTAAAGAGAAGAAGCTCTCAAAGGTAAAAACAATGTAAACTTGTTTGTTTCCTTTGGATACTTACTTATTCTTTCTGTTTTTTTTTTTTGGAATCTTTGAAGACTGCAACACCATCAAAGCGACCTTTAGGAGGACAACCAAGTGAGAGCCCTTCATCGTTGAAGAAGCGAAAGCATCTTAGATGATTTATCTCTCTGTTTCCTATCAAAACATTATCCAGAATATCAGCTTGCTAAGCTCTTATTGTTAGATATAATTAAACTTGAAAACATAGCAGGTGAATTTCATTCTGGTTAGGTGAATGTTGTGCTGGTTAGATTTTTATTTAAGTTATATATAAAAACATTATTTGCATGTTTCTTTTTTTCTTTTTTCTTTTTCTTTTTTTTGAAACACTCTTTTTCTTTTTTTTTTTTTGTCAACGTCATCGTTGAAGGAAAGTGAAAACACGAGACAAATGTCTTGTGAATGAGGCCATTTATTAAGTAGTAAACATGGTTCAAGAGAGATGGCCGTATGAGAGGAACGTATTATATATGGACAAGTGATGATAAATGACAGAAGCTTTGGTTTAGTCTCTCTGCCTCCCATCAAATCTCAGACCCCAAAAATAATCTTCTTTTCTCTTCCCTTAATGTTGTTTTAGTTTCATTAATCTTTTTTCCTTTAACTTGAAGAAGTCTTAGCTTCTATGCTGCCACTGACGCTAGCTGAGTCACCACTAGTCTCCGCTGGCTCTCGACTGCTTACGCCACTAACCATAGGAGAAGAAACTGCAGTAGTCACAGCCTCTGTGGTTAGTTCTTTGCTCGAGCTAACAGGAGCTGATGCATCACTGAGTGAAGATGATCCAATTGGGTATGGAGCCACAGGCATATCCGTTAACGAAGAAGCAGACGGGCTGTAGCTAAGTGAAGAGCCCATCGAGTGATCAAACTTACACGCTGGCCCAAACTTGCAGATTCCGTGCTGCGCAAAGTGAGTGCACTGCGCTACTCCCTGTGTGTCAAAAACACATTATAATCATTCATTATCGGTATGGATTTTTTTTGAGTTCATGGAACAACGGTGAAAAAGACTTACTGGACGAAGTGGAAGGCCAATGGAGCTGAAGAGAGGACCTGTTTTAGGTTGAACTGCGTCTAGAGGATGATGGTATCTGCAGGAAGATCCAAACTTACAGTCTCCGGTTCTCATAAAGTACTGACACTCAGGTTGATCAGGTCGTTGAGGAAACGACTCTTCTTTTGAGGTAGTCAAGGAAGGCCCACCAGATTGGTATGTTCCTGTATAAGCAGTCCCTGAAGGAGATAACGGCGCCATTCCATAAACAGAGCTTGGTCCAATAGATGGTTGTGTTCCAGGTGAAGGCATTGCAGTTAAAGAAGTCTAATAAAAAAAAAAAATCAAATGATTCATTTAAAAAAAAAATGAAGAATGTGAAAAGAGCAGAGATGAAGTTACCTGGTAAGGATTCCAACCAGAGTATACCATTCCTGGAGGTAGAACCATTGGAGGACCATAATGACTTGGAAGATACGAACCAGGTAGAAGAGAAGGCCTTGCCAAAACTAAACTATATTGTTGAGAGGGTTGAGACTGAAGTGTTGGATAAATAGTATGTATTTGAGGTTGAGGCTGTGGCTGTTGCTGCTGAGGCACTGGATGGTTGAATTTACAAGTCAAACCAAATTTACACTGACCGGTTCTCATGTAGTAAGCGCACTCTTTCTCTCCCTGTAATCAAAATTAAGAGGAGGTTTAATACAAATGTGTATATGATCATCAATAAACCAATTGAGAGAGAGTATAGAACACAAACCGGGCGTAATGGATATCCCAAATAACTTAGCGAGACAGGCGCAACGGAACCACCTCCTTGCCTTGGATGATGATACTTGCATGAAGCACCGAACTTACACGTTCCCGTTCTCATAAAATGCTATTCAACAAACAAATAAACAATGTAAAGTTTCTTACAAAACAAAACTGCATTGCTCAAATCATTGTTACATCATTAAGACAAGAGATTGAGAATTACAAAACCTGACAAACCGGTTGTCCCATCCTCTCCGGTAAAGCTCCATCTCCTCCTCTCACTCCTCCAATAACCTAAACACCAAATCAAAAGCTTTTAAAAACAATCTGAAACTGATGAAATTAAAATTAAGAAATTTTATTACCGCTCCACGATCTCGTGGGTGATTAAACCGACATCTTGAACCGTACCCGCAAGCACCGGTTCGCAAGTAATAAATACAATCAGGCTCATCAGGTCTCTCCGGATACGATTCTCCTCCTCCAGCTCCGCCGCCGATCAGCCCTGACCGCCACATCGAAGCTACAAAAAAAACACACATTTCAAAGCAAGATCCTTTAATCTCACAAATCGCAGATTAAGACATTTCTACCTTGAACTCCGGTTTGGCCTGTGGTCCATTCAATAGATGGATCCGATCGCGACCCTTCTTCACCGGAGCGACCGTACCGCTCCATTGGGAGGACAAATCCCTCACACAGACACACAATAAAGAAGAAACCTTTTTGTTTCTTACTTTTGTCTGAATGTCGAAAGCTCCGATCGGAACAAAGAGTTGTGTTGGGAAAGTAACACAGATCGTGAGGGGGTTTTGCTTCCACACCACTTCTCTCTATCTCAGTGGTTTGATCTCTCTCTCTCTATAGCTTCAAAGCTACAACAGTTTTTGAACTAGAAAAAGAAAATTATTTTATATAATTTTCGGCTTCGGTTTTTGTTTTTATTTTATAGTATAAAAAAAGTTTTTTTTTTCTTTTTGGTAAGGTGATGGGAGGTTTTGATCTTTCTTTATGCGTGCTCGCTTTTTTCGTGGGTGTTTTGCCGGTGGTGGTTAATGTACGCGCCAAACATATTATCAGCGACTCTTCCTCTTTATTTTATGAGATAATTTGCTAACATACCCCTTTTTGGACCATTATTAGATACTTGTCCATGATGTGACAATCACTTTCCTTTGAACCATTTTGCCATTCTCTACACTCTCTCTCCTCTCTTTGAAATCTTCCCTTTTTTCTCTCTCTTCAATCTCTAATTATTTTACAAATCTCTATCATTCTATATACAATTAAATTTTAAATTTCATTATTTTTTTCATAAGTGGTTTTGAATCCTCAATTTTTTTACCTTTTTTTTTCTCTTCAATCCCTAATTATTTTACAAATCTCTATCATTTTATATAAAATTAAATTTTAAATTTCATTATTTTTTAATAAGTAGCTTTGAATCCTCAATTTTTTGATGATATCAATTTTCTGGATTTTAGATTCGACGTCGTGTTAGCGGTTAACAAATATTGTAGACGTTAACATAAGTGTTAGTTGTTAACAATTATTTTTACGTTTCGCGTTAATAAATGTGTTCGCTGTTAACAAATACTGTAGACGTTAACAGAAGTGTTAACTGTTAACAATTATTTTTACGCTTCGCGGTAATAAATGTGTTGGCTGTTAACAAATATTGTAGACGTTAACAGAAGGGTTATATGTTAACAAATGTTTTTACGCTTCGTGTTAATGAGAAGAAAGAGAAAGGGCATTCTCGGCATTTCCTTGCCAAATGGTTGTGTCTGTGTCATTCATGTCCAATCAATGATATTTTGCTAATTTGAGCTTCAAATATGGGTAGTTCACTAAATCACTCTTATTTTATTTATTTTTCCATCAAAAAAATAAATAAAATGAGAGTCTGCAAATGAAAATTGTAAAAATATTTTGTAAAGTGAAATATTTTAGTATATAAATTTAATTATTTTAAACTACAATTACAAAGATTAAACTCATGTATAATACTTTTTTTTAATCACTAAGCTGTCATTTTGGGAAGTACTTTAAACCTATTATATTTGTTGTTTATTTGTGCATTCATGTATAGGAAAGCGACACTGGTTAGATTTTAGCATTGATATAAAACACAGTAACTAGATGATTGTAGAAACTTTTGTATGGTCAAATTTGATTCCAGTTTAGTTAAGTGGTGTATCTAACATTAGAAGAAACTGTAACTTTCTTATTTTACTCGTGGGTATCTATTTTTAGTAAACAATGATAAGGTTGTTTCAACAGTATCACAGTAGCAAGTTAGAACTTTTTTTTTTTTTAGCGAAAACATGAACATTTTACTACTTGACACGTGAAACTGTTCTTCGTATATTCTAACTCTTTTGTATTATTTAATCTTAATAACCATGAATCAGGCGCGTGGAATTTTATTCAGTTTACTATGCTAGCAATAAAACAAGAGTAATGACTTTACTTGCATCACTTAAGGAAGTCAATTTGGTTTGGTCCTGAAATGACCAATTTAACGGCAACAAAAAAGCATCAAGCTGATGACCAAACGGTCCAGATCTACTGTAAAGTCGCTGTCCATTTGAAATGCTGACGAAACTAACCCGATGGCTGCTTGACATTGAGTGTAGTTGGTAAAGAAGCCCATTCTCTTCATAAAGTTCCAAAAATTAGAATTTAAATGATTTGTTTTTCAACTCAATGAGAGTTAATTTGAACAACTAAAACCAAGTAGAATCAAATTTAGTTCGTTTAGTTATAATTTGATTGAACCTAAAAGATAAAAAAAACCTCCATTTTCTTTCTAGGATGAAGTGGGTCTAGGGTTTTTCTTTCAATAGTTGTCTAACTTTTTAGATAGTAGATTTATTATATATTTGTATGCTTTTAAAGAAGCTTTACAAGGTTACTATACTAATACATTTACGATGCCAATAATGAAAATCAATTTGGATATGTTGCATATTTGAAATAATAATAAAATGTTCAAGATTTCGCACACCAAAAAGACATTTTAAATTAAATACGAATCTAATAAGTCTTTAGATAGTTGAGACGAAATTTGAGATTCCTTGCCACCTCATCACAAGATATAAATGGTTTCCAAATTTTAAAGTTGAAAGGTGAAAATTAATCAACCTAATGAGAAGCACTAAAAACATTTGCAAAGGAAATTTTGAGTAATAATAATAAATTAATAATATTATATAATGAAAGAAATAAATAAAAATGTAGAAGGTCTGACTTGGCAAGGAATGAGCCACATGTGACCAGCTTTTGGAGATTGTGTTATTCCCAAAGGATCTTTTGGACCATAACATCCCTCCTTTCTCCATCTACCAAATGTCGGTGAGCAAATTTACATTTTTTCTTTAAATATTAAATTTCAGTACACATAATCTCAAAGTTCACAAGGAGTTTGGGTGTTAATGCATGTTCTTGAGTTTGAGATTTTCTTTTTTTTTTTTGGCTTCATCGCCATGTCAATCCTTGTTGTTTTTCTTTTTATTTTTTTGATTATTGGACTTATTTCTGAGAAAATTTACTTTTTACTGGTGTTATTTTTGGAGAAATTTATCTATCTGCCAGCTAAGTATCTTTTTGTATTCCACCAATATATTTTCCAAATGAATCAAATATGTTCAGATGGAACAAAATTCTACTATTACCTTTAAATATTACTACTAATTATAATATTGGGCGGAGTAAGGCACGATAACATCTTTGTCTTTTTTTGTTGCATGACTTTTGATTATATAATAATGTGAACCAAAAACAAAAACAAAAATAGAAGCATTCTTCAGTTTAAAAAAAAAAAGAATGCTCCTATTTTGTTTTTGTTTTTGGTTCATGCAATGTTCTCTTGCAATGGATTTTTTTTTACTGTAATAATGATTTTCGGTTGTCTTCCAAAAACAAATTAAATCATGTTCATAGATTACAACACGTATTGGTTCATAAACTGGTTTTATGAACAAATAAAAGATTTCATAAACTGGTTATTTTAATGCAACATATTGGTTCTTTTCAAAGTAGAATCTTCATCCACAGGTTATCTGTTTCTTCCAAAAACTTTTACCGACAGGAATACTGAATACACAGAAACATTGACTCATAAAGATTGTAGAATCATTTTGTGGGGGAACAAGAAAAAGAAAGAGATATCATATGTATAACCTTTATTCTTTTTGTATTTTTTGTTATGTTTTCATATTGTGTTAGCTTGAGAGATTTGTTTCCCATCTTGATCAGATGATACCTTAGAAAGATTTTGAAAGGGTCCAAGGAACAATCCTACAGCACATTTTAATTATTCTAAAAATGTTATTCCTTATCCAGACAGCACCAAAGAGGATAGATAGATAGATACCTCATTATATTCGTATGCTTCGACGTGTTGAATTGCTCTTTACTCGACTGCTAAGTCCCTGAACACACAAATAGCTTTTTTTTAACCTCAAGATTATGCTTTGATTCCTTCTTATCAGAAACATGAGGAGATTCATCCAATACATATTTATGCTACACATTACAGATGTATAAGCAAATATCCCAAATCATATTTAAATCTTTCACTTTTCAGGAAGAACATGAATATACTAAAAGTTATATATACTACGGAAACAACATGAGGAATTGTTAATCAAAAAAACAAAAAGGGACAACATGAGGAATTAAATAGTAGACTAGAAACTATTTACGAATAAAAAAAATAAGTATTTTATGGTTGCTTTGTTTAATTACTACGAATTAACAGATAAATGCATCTGAGACATGTTTAAACCACATAAAAATAGTATAGTACTCAGACACTATAAAGAAATGTGTCTCGAGCGGCCAATTCACGAACCACTCTAAGAATATTTTTGTGTTTGACAAAAAGGAAAAAGAAGATTGTGTTAAGAAAAGCCCATTAGGGTAAACAAAAAATTTCCGTGAATATTATTCTAAAACTTGCTTTATCTTCTATTCAAAAGGCCCAATCAGGTCCAAATAACAAAGAAAGTCGTAATTTGTAAAGCTATATTGACAAAAGGATATACACAAACTATATTCTACGAAGGTTGCGGTTCAGCTTAAAACATGATCACATAACACATAACATAATCCAAGTCGTATGGAACACGTATAACGCACCAACATTGAAATGTCTTACGCCTCATTTTACCATATTATATCTATCCAAACTTACGTGCTTGATATATATTCCCTTTTCTGAGGGAAGGACAAAGAAAAAAGGGTTTCGTGTGAGTTATATAATCACTTTGTTTTATTATCATTGCATTTGTCTGCAACATGATTTACAACGTCGAAATGTTTTATGCTTTTCTGTACAAAATCTCAGCTAATTAACAACAACAGCAATAGCTGACATTCATTTATTGAGCACAAACATATGTATCAAACAGACGGATTATTGAGAATGAACTTTTCAAATATAAGCAATGAATCTTTTTGTTAGCCGAATGTTTTCTCGGTGCTGTAAGTCATGTACAAGAAACCATCTCCTTCCTTGAAAGTATTGTACAAAGAGTCCATGCAACTAGCTGCAAAATCAAGATAAGAGCATATGATTTTTTTTCGTGGTTTGTTTTATTAGGAAATGATTTAACATCGTTGCTGCTGCATGCTCAATTACTTACCCGTTTGAGGAAGTGTATTCTTTACAAAAATAAAGAGAGATTTAGATGGATCTAAATGTAGCCTATTGCTTAACATGTGAATGAAGTGTCCAACAGTCATGTCTCGTGGCACCAAGTATCTACACGGATCAAAAAGTGATCATTAATCAATTAACTAGTTTATATATTTACTTAATTTGTTTTAACAAACAGCTAATTAAATCGAAGTCACAGAAACTTACTTGTTCTTTTCCATGTCAGGGAGGTCTGCGTTTGAATATTTCTCAATGATCACCTGTGAATGATAAATGAATTATAAGTTAAAAAAAAGAAATACTAAAGACACACTTTGATTTATAAAAGACTTGGATACAGAAAGATAGCTTGACTCATCAATCATTAGATCATTTCATTATTATCAATTTTCTTTATATTCGGATTAATTATTAATCGAAAATTTTCTTAGTTATATAGCCAAAAAATAATCATATGATTGCAACCAATCTTTTATTTTATTTGATTGAAACCATTAAAGAACAAAAGAGCTAGTTCCTAAGAATTGACCAGAGTGAATCAGATCATAGAAACAAAACTGAAGTAATCAAATCATTCAAACCCTAGGAGACCCACAACAGCACGGCAACTCAGACCGAACCAACATGATCTACGCATGAAACTTAAACTAACCGGAACTCTATCTGGATATTTAGCTCTGATGTTCCTTGACTCTTTCAATCGCTCATCTGCACCACCCCACAACCACAACTGATCAAGATCAAAAAAAGAAAGAAAAATGCTTCATCAATAAAAAAAAAGAGATTAACAGTAACAAACCAGCAGAGAATTGATCTTTGAAAGACTTGACAACAATCCCCATTGTAGATTTCCCGCGAATGATTCCGAACAAAGCTGTTTCTTTGTCTTTGCAGAGCAGAAGATTGTCATTCAACTTTTCTTTTGGTCGTTCGGTTGATTGTTTGACAAGAAAACATAAAAGAGAGAAAAATGAGACATACTTATAGAATAGACAAGCAGTTACTGGGCTTTTCTAGACCTTATATAAAAAGGGCCTAAAATATAATTTTATGGCCCATAAAGAAAACACTCAAGAGAATGATTACTTTATGTTTAACTAACAAAACATTCAAATAACAAAACAAGAAAAGCTTTATACACATAGCTGCAAGAACAATCCAAGTGTATTACAAACTCTTTTAATTTCTACTGCATAAATGTAAAGCTCTCTCTATCTCTCTCTCTCCTTGTAGAGATTCACAAACCTCTAATCATCCCGGGAGATTCTCCTCCTCTTTAGTAGCAGCAGCATGATGATCCATAACCTTTTGCCTCTCTTGTTCCAAGTAATAAATCTTATCATTCATACCTTCCTTCTCATACGCCTCCACCATGATCTCAAACGTTCTTGAATCACGCACACATTCCCTCTCCTTCATCCTCGTGTACACTCTCTCCATCTCTATCAAATCATCAGCTTTGGCACACGCTGATATAACCGCGTTGTAAAAAGAAGTGTTCTCAGGTATCTCAAACTTCGCAGCCAACTGAACACTACTTATCACCTTATGGAAAAGACCAGCGTTGGCATATCCATTTATGAGACAACAAAACGTCTTTGTGTCTGCTTTCATACCTTCACTACGCATCTGATCAAACGTATACTCCATGTTCTTCGCATCACCCACATCCGCAAAGGCCTCAATGATGTTATTGTAAGTAGACGTTGTCCACGGAAACTCAAGCTTTCTCATGTACTCCATCACGGACGACATCTTATCATACATCCTCTTCTTCCCATAAGCACCAATCAAGATATTAAAACTCCGAGTCTCCGGCTCAATCCCAAAGTTCCTGAACTTCTCATACCAGCTCTCCATCATATCAATCTTCCCCATGTTCCCAAACACACTAAGAATAATATTCATCGTCCACACATCAGGCTTACACTCAGTACTCACAAGCATATCAGACAAAACTTTCTCCATCTGATCAAACCTACCAACTCTCCCATACCCACTCAAAACAATGTTCTGAGTCACAGTGTTTGGAGTAATCAAACGCTCATCCATCTCTCTATACAAAGACTCAACCAAATCAAACAGAGACGCGTCCACACAGACCTTAAGCAGAGTACTGTACGTATAAACATCAGGTTGACACTGAGGCAACGTTTTCATTCGTTCAAGAACTGTAAAAGCCTCTTCTATAAGGTTGCTACGAGTGTAAGCACCGAGTAAAGCAGTGTAGAGCTCAGCAGTTGGTTCAATCCCTTCTTCAAGCATTTCGTCGAACACCTTCTGTGCACGAATTGGTTGTCCAGATTTCCCCAAAAGAACAATCAGCTTCATGTAAGTTCCTTCCTTTGGTTGATAAAATGGTTGTTCCTTCAACATCTCAAACACCTACAAAACACCCAATTGATTAAAATCATATTTTATTAAAAAAGATTCAAACTTTATACCTCGAGAGCTTGTAGCCATTGCTTTTTAGCGATTAGATCCGATAAAGTTTCCGTTACGGTGTTAACCCACCCGTTGGCTTTGCTTCTTCTATCTAATTTCTTCTTCACATTCTTCATCGGAGTTCTTTTAGGGTTAGCAGGCTCTGTGATTCCGGGGAACTCTCCTTCTTTCCAGAGTCTCTTCTTCGTGGGGGGAGATTTAGAAGCGGCGAGAACGCATCGCACGAAGGTTGTTTCTCTTTGGTGGAAGCTGCGTTTTGATTCGGGGATTCGAGATGAGCATAGCGAAGATGAAAACGAGAGAGACATTGACGCCATCACTCTCCTCTCTCGCTGTCTCTCTCTCTGTTTCGGATAATTCTCGTTAAAACTCGTTTCGGTTTGATATAGTCAAATCCGGTTAAAGATATCCGGTTACACGATTCCGGTTCAATTTATTAATCGATAGAACCGGGTAAATAAGGTAGAACCGGTGCATGATATCTCTATAATATTATTTGAGAAGTCACTTTCTTAGGTGTCGCCCTCACGTTAACTCTCACGCTGGTTGATTACTATGATACCCTTAATAAATTAAAAATATATTTAAATATTATTATTTCCTTTTTAAAATCTTCCAAATAAAAATATAAAACAAAAAGGAAATATTTCTAAAATTTAAAAAACTATTTAAAAACGAAAAATAAATATATATATAATATGGTTTCATAAAAAAGGAAAGTTTACAAAATAGTAATATTTAACTTAAATATATTTTTAAATAACATAAATTATACTTTTTAAGTAATTATACTTTATATCTATATCTTCTTAGATGAAAAAAATATTTGTATATAATGTGTTTTCATAAAAAAAATCATACAAATAATCTTGATATTAGAAAAAGAAATATTTTTTCTTTTAAAAAAAAATTAAAAAATAAAATATATATTTTCAAAGTAATTAGTTTTTGTATATATGTATCTATTTTATTAGATGATTACATAAAATAATTAAGTAACATAAACTGATATATGTTTAATTGACAAAAAATTATAATTAGTATATTTATTTGATTATAATATCTTACCGTTACAACAAAAAATATAAATTATATTTTACTTATATAATATAATTTCTCAAAAACAATCACATTTTTACTGCATATTTTAAGAGATATTAAAAACAAAACTAAAAATAAATTTAATGGTAAACATCTTATCAGATAACTACAATTCTTTTAAAATATCATAACACTATATAATTTAACGAGATAAATATATTATATTTTAATAGTTAAAATTATATATTTTTAATAACTCTTTTGATGTTTAATTTTCTGTTTTTATGTTTGTGGAATTTAATATAACCATAATCAAAATACTTAAGAAAATTATAATTCTTTATTTTAAAAATTATTTAAAATAAATTTCAGTTTACCATCTAATCAATCTAAGGCATAAATTATTTAAAATTTCTAAAATATTTAATTATTGTAAATATTGATATGTTTTCATAAGCTTCTGAAAATTTATTATTACCTATGTATGTAATTTAGAATCAGACACTTTAGTTTTTATTTTTTTCGTTCTAAGCACAAAAAATATTAAAATACATAATCTTACCAAGATATACTTATATTTCTAAGATAACAACCAACATAAATGTAAATAAAACAATTAATCAAAAGTTTAAGATATTTAGAATAAAAAAGATTATAGTTGAATTCAGAGAAATAGATAGAATCCAATATATATATATATATCCAAATGATAAACTAACTAAATATAATATATCTAAAATTATATATAACTAAAATAATATAATATTACTAATATAATTATACATAAAAACTATAAATTAATATAAAAGTTAAAGTAAATATCAATCAACTATTATAAATATTTATGCCCGTGCATGAGCACGGGAAAATCACCTAGTCCAAAAGTGATCTAGAAACTATAGTAATATTTTATTTTTTTTAAAACATATGTCAATCACTTGGCTTATTTCATTGGATTATTTCATAAACTTTTGTTTTATAAGATCTTAACACAGGAATGATCAGGCAAAATCATATTAAAGGTTTAACCATGATTAAATTGATTTTTGTATAAGTGTTATAAAAATAGCTAGAGTAGCTTAACGAGAGATCATACTAAGCTTTTGAACCTCTGGAAAAATCTACTAGGCATTCTTTTATTAAGTTTCGCAAAATGGTGTGGTTTTTAAACCCAATTAACAAATTACTAGTAAAGCTTAGATAATGATAGGAAACATTTGTGCTGATTTGTATCAGTACATGAAATTTAGTGTAGTTTGTGGCTCTTTGCCTAGTAATAATCTTAAAATTTTGATGGAAACAGAAGCACTAAGAATGTTTTTCATAAAAGAAAAGATTTGAGTTTTATTTAACCGAAATACACAAGAAATTAAACATATAGATATTGGATAGCTTCGTAATTCCTGGCTAGAGTTCCACATCTTCCTAGATAGTCCAAAAGTTCATTATAAATCAATTCATCACTTGTTAATTCCATTAGTAAATCATAATCAAAATTTTATGTTTATCATATCTAACTCATCTCATTATTTATTTTTATGATAATATCTAAAAACAAATTTACTTGATCAAATCTATCTTAAGAAAACATGTCTTTCAAGTCATTCCAATTTTTTTTCATTTAATCTTTGGGGTTTTCACATGTTCTTTTATTAGCGTAGTTTCCTTTTGTTCAAATTTCTATTTTTCTTCCTTCTTTTTCGATCAATTGAAAATTTACAATCTTATGCATGCTTTATAGTTTACATGCATTTTCATACTATTTTCATTTGGTGGAATTTGCTATTTCAACCTGATGTATATCAGGTATGCAATAATTTTTATCCTATGTTTTATTTCCTTTTGTCGGAAATTTACACAACTTATGAACATAATTTTTAGTGGGAAGTTTCAGTCAAACTGGTCTCTAGTTTTGCTACTCAAGCCCAATGAGTATCCTAGATGCAAATTTTTCAGAAACATTAATGCACTTGAAAAACTGTTCTTCAAGCTTTTGTCTTGCATTTCACATTACTCCAACGAGAATTTATTGAAAAAATTGAAGATGTCTCATATTTCTTTGTTTTTGGGATATTTCTCATTTTCCTCTATCTGGTTTTGCTCTCAAAATTTTTCTGTATGCTAAAAGACTTGGGGTTACTCGATGGGATTTTCACTGTGTCTTGGTATTGCAACCCATTTATATCAATCTTCTTTGGGACAATTTTTTGTCATGCTAATTTCGTATCTAGTGTTGTTAGCCTTGCATCTTGGGCACTCCACTTGGTTTGAACAGAAGCATGCCCAAAAAGAGGAAGAGAGAAGATTTGAGATAAAGCTGAGAAAATTGGCAAAGAATTTGCATTATGGTTTGCTAGCTCGAATATTTAACAAAATTCACATTCAATACGAAATCAGTCATGTTCGCACGCCGTTTTCTGCGATGTTCTATACAAGTATCTTCTTAGTTATGGTTTAAATTGAATTGAATATGTTAGATCAATGAAGTTGATTTTTGGTATATTCGATCTCCCGTACTTAGATTTGTAGATAAGAAAGCTTGGATGTTGTTGGTTATGCAGATTCTTGAAGCATTTGGGTTATGAAGTCAATTTCGTCAGGATTTTCGCAGATGTAATGACAAGGTATTGTTTTTTTTTTCTGGTTCTTCATCGGTCTATAGTTATAACTTCTAATGAAGACTATCAATCTCTGCAGATAATTATACTTGCTAATGAGACTGGAGACTGGAGAAGAACCGTTAAGGTTGAGTGAACGCTTATACAATAAGTATTTGAAAGATATGGATGCTCTTCAGTGCCTCCGTCCCAGCAATGAGCCTCGTGTCAGCCAACATATGGATCAGATTATAAAGATGATTAAAAAGGTACTTTGGTTTTAGTTGAAAGATGAGTTACATGGAGTTTGAATTAGCAGTTATCTTGATGATCTTTATGCCAAGTTTTCGTCACAACGAAAAGCGACAGATGATGATGACAAGGAACCAGACCTATAAGCTATGATTGGAGTTTCAGGGCATAGAGACTTGACTAGTAAAATCACGTAGAGAGACACCAAACCCATCTCAACATACTTATAGATAATTTGGCTCTCGTCTGTAAAGACTTCCATCAACTGCGTGAATCCAAATAGGCAGATGTTAGCCAGTATGACCCATCAAACTCGAACTCGTGTGTCATTCACCCATTTAACTACAATTTTATCAGAGGGATTCACCATTTTCTTGTTTGGAATGAGAAAACAAGAAAAAATAAAAATAAAATTTAGAACACATCTAGTGTAGATTTTTCACTAAATATTTAGCAATTAAAAAGAAAAAATTAGAACAAAATATTAAAAATAGAATAAGGAAACCTTACTTAAATCCTTCCTCCACTTGTCAAAATATGAATGGTTCAGACATTTAATTTGCATTTAAATTTAATTAGTTAAATAAAATCAATTAAACTAGTAATATGTTGTTATTCAAAACCTACATTTGAGGATCCAACCAATAAGATTGCCCTAATATCTGCTGCTCGTTCGCGGTAGTCACATAAGCTCCATATCATGTGCACTTTCTCCAAACCCTTGGATTCTGAAACGACACAACTCGTCTCATCAATTCCACTCCTCCGCCGATCCACTTCCTCTGTCCCCTACACCAAGCCTAATGCTGCTCAGTCTCATTAACTCATCTTCTTCTCATGAGTATCCCCTCCATCACTTCCCCAATGTCAACAGTGAGATATGCGAGTCACTTAATGAACATCTTCGTTAGGTTAACTTTAAAACGCTTCCTTTACTTTACATACATTCATTTTTTTGTTAATACATGGAAATTTTCTTTGTTTTACAAGTAGATTGTACCTTCTTCATGACTTTAGATCATTTACCCGTCTATCATTTTATTGGGGATTCAAAATGCGAAGGCATGTTTTTGGTTTAAGTTCTACCCTTTCCTTTTTCTTTTCTTTTCTTTTGTAACTGGTTTAAGTTCTACCGAAATGGTTGTAAGAGCAACTCCATCCATTAGAACCCCTAATGGGCTCTGATGATTAAATTAGTGGGTTTAAAGGTGATCTGAGAAGTTAAAAACTTTGGTTATTGGAAATAACTTTTTCTTCCTCCAATGGGAGAACCCTATAGGGGTTCTTAAATATTTTTTACCATGTTGTTCCCCTCTATGCATTTCTTCACTACTTGATGCAGACGGATTCAAACCATACTCACTCATTTGATTGTCCTTTGGCAGCTCAAACACACACAAACATTTTATTACAGATGACGTTGATTAATGTGCACAGCTCTTATTATTGAGTAACTATGATTGAAAGACAGAGTGTATGTGTATGTGTTTGTGGAGCAAGGGTACTAGTGTTAACTGTGTGTTGCTGCAGTACAGGTCCAAAGACCATGGTAGGGCAAATGCTGACGAGATCAATCCCGGTTCATTTTGCAAACTCGAAAGCTTCACTTTCTGCTTGTGTCTTTGACGCACAATACCAATTCTGCCAAAGAGACTAAACTCAGTACAACATGAATTCATTTACTAAGTGCGGTGAAGGATTCAAGATGCATTATTAAAACCGCTAGAAGCGCTAGAAGTACCTCACAGCACAGCGGATCAGCCTTTATACCAGATTTATACCTGCAATCACAACTGAAATTCATGAGCTAAATGGGATGAAGTTCAAGATTCACGCACACCACTCACATAATGGATCAGCCAAGATACACACAAAAAGTTCCCAATATATCTAGCTACCACTTCAATGAATCTTATTTACATCATTAAATTAACAAAATCACTCTCTTGAAACCATCAAAATGTAAATGACAGTACCACTGCTTAATGCTGCAAGTACCACTGCTTGAAAGGAGCAGCATCGACCTGAACAATAGCATTCTTCACAAGAGTCTTGGTCCGGACCAGCTCATTGTTGGAAGAGTTGAGACAACATCAAGAACTCTGGCCTTCCCATCTCGTACCTTCACAAACCAAAAACACAAGTATTACAAACCAAAAAAAGAATCATCCGCACAGCAACAGTTATGAACAATATATAAACAAACATGCCATTATTACAGGAACACAAGTGTCAATCACAAAATTTGACCTTTTCTAAAACTCCAATCAAAAAGAAGAAATTTAAGAAACAAACCAAGCTCAAAGATGGGAGCTTTATAGCAACCACGGTTTCATCTACAAGATGCTTCCCTTCCCACACCACAGAAAACGGACATTGATCAAGAAATTTCCCAGATCAAAAAGAAAAACAACGACGAAGCAGAAGAGAGAGAAGGCAAGAAGGAATTTGGCCAATAATAAAAGGGCACGGAAGGGATCATATTCCAGAAAAAACATCAGCTAGATTTTCTGTTAACTGCAATCAGAAAGAGGCCTTATATACATGAACACTTCCCATGTATTCAAGAAACCTAATCACTATACATAAACTAGATTCTTCAACAAACAAGTAGTTTTCCACTCAAGAACACACAAACATCGCTAGAGAACTTCAAAATCGAGGACAAAATCAAGTATACTAAGCCTAGTAATCGATCTCTAACTAGATAGTTCATATGAAACAGGTGCGATCAAAATCGATACGGAGAATCAAACAACCTCTCCCGTTTGTGGCGCTGCTGAGAATCCCTCGCGTCTCTTCTTCTGGAGATTCTCCTCCCTCTTGTTCTTCCTGATCTCAATCATGTGATCCTCTCGCCTCCGCCGTCCCTCCTCCGCATCCACCGCCACTTTGTACCGGTTCCGTCTCACCTCCGTCTTCACGCTAGGCCTGAGAGACATCGTCGCCTTGATCGATTGAAACCTAAAGAATCAGCGATGAGAAGGATCAAGACGAGTTCGATTCGAGTGGATTTTGATTTCGTGAAGACGACGAGAGTAAAATGAGTAGTGAAACCAAAGAGACAGAGTCGTCTGGTGAAACCGATCAACATCGAGACCATCGATGGCGAAGAGAGGAGTCGTCGGAAAGAGAGGACGAAGACAGAAAGAACCGAGATCGATTATCATCTCCTCCCCAAACCGATCAGTATCGATTTCCAAAGCATCCATGAGAGAATTCGTAGGACAGAGAGAGAGAACAGAGAGAGATAAGAAAACAGAAAGAACCCAAATCGAAAGAGAAAAAAGTGGTCACCGTTTTTCAATCCAATCAGAACTCGCCACGTATGGGGTTATTACTACTTCTACCGCCTTCTCCTAAAGACGCGGTTCTGTGTTTTATTTTCATTTTTCATTTATTTTTTCCCTTCTTTTTGTGTAGAACCCCTCACTATTACCTCCGATGGACTTGGTCTAAGCCCAAAACAATAGAATTTATAGACCCAAAACATATATAAGATTCTGACATCACATAAATATCAACTATTGTATACACAAGAAAGAAAATAAATTACTCCCAAAATTATCACACTCACAGCTAATACTTCTACTAATTAATATTACACATTGACAACCAAAAATTCAAAACATATATTAATACTAGGGACTCTTAATATTAAACTCCCACGTTATGCATGATAAGAATAAAAAAGAACAATGCAATGGATCATCCTTTTTTTGAACAATTCAATGCATCATCCCATTAATCAAATACAAAACGATCTGGTAAGACGAAAAGATATGATTCCATTGGACCCACTTTGTATAAAGATAAGACGATTGGATAACATCTCATAACGCTCTCTCTCGTCGGACCACATCTTATAACGCTCTCTCTCCGGCGATCCCTAGTTAAAACCACTGTGGGAAAAGCGCAAGAGCGCCTGAGATTCACGTAATGGCATCATTTCACTCTACCCTCACCTACTGGCTCGTGAACCACCCCAACATTTCCTATTTCACGTGGACAGAAGGTGAAACTCTTGGCTCCACCATCTTCTTCGTCTCCGTTGTAGTCTCACTCTACCTCTCCTCCACGTTACTCCTCCGATCTGTCATCGATTCACTCCCTCCCCTCGGTCCAAAAATTCTCAAACCAATCACAGCCGTCCATAGCCTCGTACTCTGTCTCCTCTCCTTAATCATGGCCGTTGGTTGCACTCTCTCTATCACCTCAGATGCACGTTTCTTCAACGCGATCTGCTTCCCTATGGACGTGAAACCTAGCGGACCACTTTTCTTCTGGGCACAAGTCTTCTACCTCTCGAAGATCCTCGAGTTTGGAGACACAATCCTCATCATACTCGGAAAATCAATCCAACGGTTATCCTTCCTCCACGTGTACCACCACGCGACGGTTGTGGTCATGTGCTTCCTCTGGCTTAGAACTCGCCAGTCGATGTTCCCGGTTGCACTTATAACGAATTCGACTGTTCATGTCATCATGTATGGGTATTACTTTCTATGTGCTGTTGGATCGAGACCGAGGTGGAAGAGGTTGGTGACGGATTGTCAGATTGTGCAGTTTGTTTTCAGTTTTGGGTTATCTGGTTGGATGCTCCGAGAGCATTTGTTCGGGTCGGGTTGTTCTGGGATTTTGGGGTGGTGTTTTAATGCTGTGTTTAATGCTTCTCTTTTGGCTCTCTTCTTCAATTTTCATTCCAAGAACTATGCTAAAAAGACTAGCAGACAAGACGACCGCAAAAGGGAGTAGTTTAGTTGTGTCTTGTCTTAAATTGTTTTATGAATAAGATGTCACATGAGTCATGAAATGGATTCGTTGTCTGATTCATAGTTTGTTTGGATGGTTATTTTCTTCCTGTTAAGAGTTGAACACTGATATTAGCCTACAAATACACCAAGATTTTGACTAATTAACTATAGCAAAGCAGGTTCTACCTTTGTCTGGACAATCACATTCCCTTGTCTTTCAGACAATGTTGTAGGAACCACGGTTCTCAAGAGCCGTTTGCTGCTACAGTGTCTGGGTTGACGATAGACAATACAAATCTAGGACATTCTTCAATATATATTTTTTTTCCAAGTATATAAACCAGGACAATAACCTTTTGCTTACAGAATGTTTTGAATCAAATAAAATCAAGTCAGAGGAGATTTAACCACCATATCTGAGTTTCGAATCAAGGAAGCATAAATGAGAGTAACAATGTATGTACATCAAATAAACTGAAAACAAAAAAAAAACACACTTAGTGAACAAAGTAGATCCTTCCTCTACCATTAGTATGTCAAAGCTTTATTCACTAGCCTGAGTTGGGAGATTTTCTCAGGGCAAAGGCTCTTGTGAATCTCCAAGGCGAGACAAGTGCAAGTAAGCATCAGTTCCTGCAAATTTCAACAACACACACAAATCAAAAAAAATCATTTATAGTGACATTTAAACTGAAGCTGATTGAGATATTCATGTAGACTAATGAATATGATCTCAAAACATGAAATGGAAGAAGTTTAATTAGACTCACCATATCCTTCCATGGATATGATCTGCAAATCTCCACCAAAATAACGAGCATACAAGCGACTAATTGGCAGACCATAACCATAACCAGCCATAGTCACAGGAACATCAGCTGCTCCAAATGTCATTTCCTCTTCAAGCGGGTTTGTTGCGGTACTGTAAAGATATGTGAATATTTTGGGGAGACCACTTCTTGGTATACCTCCACCTTCATCTGAGACCTATTAAGATTCACCCACAAAATTTGTAACCTCAACAAAAAAAAGCTCTTTGCACAAAGGAGAAAAAACAGAGGAAAGCAAATAACCTTTATTGTAACATCTTCGATCCCATCAGCAACAATAATGCGGACCGGTGGTGCAACTCTATCTGAATCAACATATCGTTCTTGTACAGCACGTAGAGAGTTCTTAACTAACTCATATACCATAAGATGCAAATGTGTTGGAACATACCTTTAAAAAGGAGTAGAAAAGGAGATAAGTTCAAAGCTACACAGAATGAATCCAAGAAGAAAACAAGCGGTAAAAACTCACGGAAAGGTGAAACTTGGATCTCCATATATGTTTATTTCCGGAGAAGAACCATACTCTCGGAAACAAATAGCCCTGGCATCTTCAATGGCGTTCCTTGCTACCTCCATAGGAGACATCTTGGTGTGTATGTAACCCACACAATGACGTGGTGGATTTGGATTATGCAACTCAACATGCTGCCCTGAAATTTTTTATTATAAACAAAGATGTGTTTTAGTTGAGTGGAAGAGAACAGAGAGATTAAAAAAAGTCTTACCAATAAGGTTACGGATGCCTATACGAGACAAGTAGAAGCGATCAAGAAACTGATGAATCTCATCAAGATTCTCGTAGAAATGAACTCCTTTCTTGAGTTGGTTAACACCGAGAGCCATCATGGGAACCACGTTGTTGTGCCTTACTTTAACAGCCTTAATCATCTGAGTAAAGTCTTTCTCATCACTTGTATCCTTGATCTCAGGAAACGCTCTCATGTCCCTAAATGATTCCAGATACCAATCCCTTACCTACCAAAGAACAGAGTTTGCCAAGAAAACGAGACATAAGACATCATCAAATTCCACAAAAGCTATTGAAAAAGACTGTCATAATTGCCAAATCTTATGTCACTCCAGAGATTGCACATCAAAACTGTTCTAAGGATTCACTTTCACTGTAGCACAAACATTTAAAGCCTTTTGAAGCATGTGAAAAAATTAAAATAATCACACCACATCTTATTTTATATCTTATGGATCTTAAAGAAGAATTTTCAAAGATGGATCCGCTCTGATACCATGTTAAATTTGTTTATCATTGACTTCCAACTTAAAATCGATAATAATTGGATTGACTTAACCATTTTATATTTGTTCATTGAGATTTTGATTCACTAAACAACCATTTTATATTTTATCGAATTTAAGCCTAGAAACTATAGCTAGAGATCAACGGGCTCTGATACCATGTTAAATTTTAGTTTATTATAGACTTCCAAGTTAAAATCCGACTATTAACTATAACCATTTTAAATTAGTTCACTGAGATTTTCATTCATTAAACAATTTCAGACAACAATTTGAAGAACCAAACTCATGTAACGTATAGAGACATTCTTCAAAGCCTATTCAATTTGAAATAACAAACTCACAAGAATCAAACCGTAAACTGGAATAAACCAATGTAACGATCAAAAACAATTTGATTCCATCAAAATATTCCAAAACTAAACCGACACGAACCAAAAACTGTTACCTTCAATACAGCAGGTTTCTCGGAGAGACCATAAGGCAACGCCTGGAGTTCGATCGCTCTCCTCGCGACACGAATCGGAAGCTCCTTATGTAGAAACTGCGCGGAGATCAAAAGGTTCCTCTCGGTTGGCGTGGAACCAAACTCCATCATATACCTGAGGCTAACGCCCGTTTGCTTCATGCATCCCCATTTGTGAAGATCCTGGATCAGACTCTTAGGAAATATCATCTTCTTCTTCACCAACGTTAACTTCTTCGTTGTTGCTATCAACCGTTCTCATCGACTGCACGAAACCTCGGAGATGATTGGACATGCAGAAAAGAGAGAGAGAGAGAGAGAGGATTGGGTTATGGATGCTAATTAATAACATTGCGGAAATAGGTTCCCCGCTAATTCAATGGATTAGGATTTTTTTAACTATTATGAATGGTTTGAGTGATCGTGTGGTATTGGCTTTGCTTAGTTTTGATATTTTACGTTATGTGTCTTTTTGAGACTTTAAGTTATTTATTTTATATTGCAAAATAAGTAGTACTAATTGTTAGGAAACAGGGAACACACACTTAAAATATTAAAAATGAGTAGGAAAAAATGTAGAGGAATAAAATTATAGGAATGACGAAAAGAATTATTCTTTATCAATTTTGATAAGGAATAAATTTGTTCTATACTCCACTAGAATATAAAGAATGAAAATGAATAGAAAGGAAAAAATTATTCTTTATAAATGGTAAAAAAAAATTAGGAAAAGTAAAAAATACATTATTCTTTTTCATTTATTGATCACCAATTAGACCATTGATATTAGAGCAGGTCACTAGTTATACCCTTAATATTAGAGTATTTTTTTCAGGTACAACATTAATATAATATACATTTCTTATTATAAACTTTGAATTATAGGTTACTTTATTTTTCTTAAAAAAAAACGTTTGTTTAATTGTATCAGTGTTTTTTTTTGCTTAACACTTTGTTAATTGTATCAGTGTTTTTTTTTTGCTTAAAACTTTGTTAGTTGTATCAGTGTTTACATGGTATATCAAATAGCATGATCAAACTCAATGAAATAGTATAATTTAGACAAAGCAGTTCTAATAAAAGTTGATGAAAATGAATATATACTTCTAAACCGTAAATGAACGATAAGAGCATGATTAACTCCGGATTCTTAAGATGGGATTCTTAGCGAGGAAACTAAGAAATTGTTTCTTAACTTTTAACTGAAAACGTTAAGAACCGGTTCTTAAATAAGAACCCCGTCTTAAGAAATCCGGGTTAATCATGGTCAAAAGTTACAAAGTTGCACATCTAAAATAGCTTTAGGAAAGACCCCCCCCCCTACTAATCCACACGTGAATAAAGTCCACTGTATCGAACAACGTGACGTTCTATTTATTTACAGAGGAGAGATGTGTCGTTTTTTATCTTTAAAACTGTACGGTTTGTATTATTTGATGAAAACAATGGCGAGTCATTTCTATATTTCAAAAGGCTTCTAGCCCGTTCTCTCTTATAAGCCCAACATTCGTCTCGCTTTTCCTAACCAAACTATGACTGCACCTGGATCAATAAAATGTGCGATAGAATTGTGTGAAATGGGTTTATCCCACTTGATACCATGAAAAGACACCGTTTTTATATTATAAAAATGTTTAGAAAATATTCAGGAAATTATGTTGAATAAATGAAAAAACGTACACTTCTAATCCCTCCGTTCTATAATAAAAGATGTTTCGGTTAACAACATCTCCAATTCTACTTTATTTTGCAATAAATTTTAGAATAAATTTTAGAGTATGATTAGTGATACTCTAAAATACATGAATTAAGACACTTACTTTTTTATGATATTATTATTAATAATAAAAATTTAAATTAAATCAACCAGTCATAAATGATGCAGTTTAAGATTATTGGTCAATGAATTATTTATAAGGTTAGAGTTATTTTAAAATTAACAATAAATCTCATATTTTGAAATATTGTTTTCTTTGAAACATCTTCCATTATGGAGTGGAGGGAGTACTAATTAATTTCTCCCTTTCTAAGTAGTTACTAAATTAATCATTCATGATTCCCTTTAAATTTATAATAAGTTTTCGTTTTGTAACTTGATGGTTTAATAAATGATTGATTCGCAAAAAATAATTGTTCTGTTCACCTGATTAATTCCCTAAACTTAATATAGGAAAACGTAACTAACTCATCTCATATAACCAAGTTGTGCTGGTAACAAAAATGTTGGACCAGAACTCATAAATCATACGCATGTCATGGAGAAGTCAGAAACTAGTATTGTTTGTTTTAGAACAACAACAGAGTTGGTGTTTGACTCAACATCCCTAACTTGTTTTCCTAAACCAGATACAACTAAAATCTCATTGACCTCAGTTTTTAATATATATCCATATTTCGTTATTTCTCCATACACATGAGTTCATATTTGACTTGGTGGCCTTCATTTTCTATTGTTTTTCCTGGTACGAGGATTTGTTCTTCATCAATATTCATATTAAATTTGGAATTTCATCCATCATGGGAGTACTTAATTTGTCTTTACCACTTAGTTTTAAGTAAAATAATTCAAGTCTGGTATTAAATATGGTTTTCGCTTCAACTACACATTTGAAGTTAAAGTGGATTTTCATTTTTAGTTTATGTTTTATGGTTAAACTCTTCCTTTACTAATCACTTGTTGCCTCTATACTAAATGAAACTACTAATCTACAATATTGAATATTTGACTTTACAGTAAACATAAACAAACGAGTAACCACCCTACGACCAAGAAAATCGTATATTCAACCATGTTCACAACTTCATTTAATCATTATGTAAGAGAAAGTGATTTAGTTAGAATAATCACTTACTTATAAGCTATAACAGCTAAGTAATGTCAAAAGTAACATTAATTAATCATATTGTGAGCTTTGTTGACTTGTCAACAAAGATAGGAGACTCAGAAACGCACGAGTGAATTGTCTCAAAGATCTCTTTGACTTTTGACCGGATGCCACGTCAAATGAGTATTTTATATCTAATTGATTCACGAGTCAAACCCTAATAAACAATTTGTATATTCTGAGACCTTGGTTCTTTTTAAGATCAGAGAAGGATATTATTCAATAAATAATATTCTGAATAAGTACAATCTGATATGGAGGTATGTTTATTTTCTCTATACGTCGTAAGCGGGAAGACATTACTGTCGGTATTGATGTTTGAGATATATGGGATTACATACCTCAGGGAGATAATTGAATATTTACAGTTTCTCCGTTAAACCAAATTCTTAATTCTAAATCCGGACTACATTACAATCCTCAGTATTTTTTTTGTAACAATCCTCAGTATATACACTTGTTAAATATGAATGGGAAATGAAATCACAATTCAAGAATTTCTAAATACGACTTGATTGTTTTTTGTATAGTAGTCCCAGTAGAGAAAACAAATCACACATCTTATTGATGTTTTCACACTTCATCATCATTGTTTAAAAAGTCATCTTATGAAAAAAAGAAGAAGCAATTTTTAGTGACAAAAAGATGGTTTAACGACAGAATGTCTGTCTTTAAACAAGCAGCAAGTTTCTTTTGCGAAACATAAAGAGAAAATATGAGAAAGTAATGAATTAACAAAGCACATGTGTTCTCCACTTTGGAGGAAACCAAATTGCTTATAATAAAATTTGAAGCTTCTTGTAACTAATCCTAAATGCTACTTTATGCTCCATGTTAGCTTGGTTTTCTTTCGTATTATATATAACTTCACATATTTGCTTTCACAATTAACATTTGTCTTTATTATAACTTGGTTCATGAATTTCATAGAAGGTAAACTGAGATTAATTGGTAACAGAAGCTTCCAACAATTTCTTTTTGACAAATACTGTACATGTTTTACGTGATGCTAGTGCATATAAACTCTTTAACTATAATCCATACTATATGTCCTCAACAAATAAAGTAGCAATATATTGTTGCGATCATCTCTTTTTAAAGTGGATTGCTTTTCATGAAAGATATTAAGTATGTCAATTAAAATGGAGATCACGAAAATGTAAAATTTCTATAATTACATATACGTATAAGAACAGTATTTTGCAGGATAAACAGTTTAAATATTTAATGCTAATGTTCATACTATGCAACTACTTATCATGCAGATTACTAGCTACGTATCCGTGCAATTTTTTTCCATCCTCACACACACACACACATATATATATATATATATATATGTATACGTGTGTACTAATAACATCTATAAATTAATAAATCAAGAGTCCTATATAACTTCTTTTTACATACAGTATCCAAATTGGAATATTACAAAAAAAAAGGTTTTGCTGATCAAATCACTGGTTTAATTTTATTTTGGCGCCTAACCCCATTATTAACCCAAGACTCTTTTTTGTCAACTATTCCCGAAACTCTTAAAAGATGAAAATTATGCTTGTTTGTCAAAAAACTCATATGCTATCACATGTCTTTTATATTAGACTAATATTTTCAGCTTACATATGTTTAGCATTATTTGTTCATCAAATTCTTATATTAAAATAAGGGCTCAACAGGTTTGGTCAGTTAAAACTGGAGATAAATTCAACAACTAGAAGATAAACAAAGAACATTCCAAACATGATAAAAGAGAGGAATGGTAATGAAGAGAAGAGATTCGTAGAAAATCTTCACTTAAAACTATAAACCCCATGCTCGATAGAACACATTAAAGTCAGATTCAATACCTACGTTGACACACCCAACTGGACTCTGAGAGCGATTAGCAGGGAAAATTTGAAAAACTCCAAAACCGTAGCTAAAACCGGAGACGATAAAGCTTAACTATTATATATAGCTATTTTATGTTTGAACAGGTTTATGTAATTTAGTCAATTAAACTTTGTAGTTCAGTCCATTTCATTTTAGTTTCTTCAAAAGTTTTATAAGACAAATTAAGGTGCTGCAAATCAATAAAACCCTCTTAAACTGACGGTCTAGCCAGAAATCAACTTGAGCACAATTTTGACGATCGACCCATTTGTAAAAGAACATTTAGTACGTTTAGAATTTTTCTTTGATTAGACATATAGTGGGAACTAAAAAAACATGTTTGAATCTCCTAGTTCAACATGAAGAATCTTCTTTCTGTTGGAGATATATTTCTAGATGAAGACTTATTCCCTCCCTAATTTAAGCATTATTTTTGAAAGCAAATTTAATCAAAGCTTGCACATTAAAACTATCTATCCTCGATGCTTCATTATATTCTCACACCTCTCAAACTTATTTTGTTTTAAACATTG